CTACAAAGCGCTATGGAAGGTTGTTGTCTGCCGTACAAAACGGATGTGGACAAATCCAAAGTTTTTTCAATTAGTGCACAAATAGAGTAATTTTGCATCAATTTGTTCCAGTTGGCTGTTAAAATGATTCTAAACCAAATTGATCGACTGAGGGTCTAAACTCAGCAACCAACATTTTTATCTAGATGCAGGTGAAGCAAACCACCTCGTCGAAACTTACATCTATATGATTAATCTGTTTTTTTGTTAACGCATGCCAAAAAATATATATTCCAAGTAAATGTTTTTCGTAATATTTTAAGCATATTGAGCCAGACTATATGATAAAAATTGTTTCCAGAATTCATCGACAGATGATCATTCAAACCTGCTTACTTTTCTATAGGCTCTTACTGCAAACTGAAATTATAAAATTTAAACTACGATGTAGCAACACGTGATCCACTTCTATACAATTGCGCCAAGTGCGCGTTGAAATCAAAGAAGCTCGTGAGTATTCCATTCATCCACACTTAACCCCTTCTCTCAACCTTTCCGCGACGGGTTAGGTTAGGTAGGATATGCTTGAAACATGATAAAGAATGGGAAACTGGGATAGAATGTGAAAATTCTTCCGCAAGCTGGTACCGAAAGGAGGGGGAGCAGGGGGTAAGCGTGGAGGTTTAGCCTCCAGATTAAGAACGGACAGGCAGGGGAATAGCCTTTAGAGTTTAGAAGAACGGACAGGCTGCAGAGGTAGCAGTGTACTGATAGCACTGTGGCGCACGGCGTTCTTTATCGAAAGTGGGGAAGGGGCTAGGCTGCATGGAATAGAAATATTTTAGGGTTTAGCGTGTGGGTTACGACCATTGTTTTGGCGGCCTGCAGCTCATTGGCTCGCTGGTTTACATCCATGAAGGGATTTAGTCCCTGCGGCTTTCAGCAAGTAATCATGTTGGCTAATTTGCTCTGCAGCATGCTTGCGCACGGGGTGAAGTATGAAAATTATGCTGGTATTGGGCAATGCTGTGTTAACGCATGCCAAAAAATTATATTCGCAAGTAAATGTTTTTCGTAATATTTTAAGCATATTGAGATTAAAAGATTAAAAATTGTTTCTAGAATTCATCGACAGATGATCATTAGATCCTGCTTACTTTCTATGGGCTCTTACTGCAAACTGAAATTTAAAAATGTAAACTACGATGTAGCAACATGTGATCCACTTCTATACAATTGCGCCAAGTGCGCGTTGAAATCAAAGAAGCTCGTGAGTATTCCATCTTCTTCCTCCACACTTACCCCCTTCTCTCCACCTTTCGGCGACGGGTTAGGTTAGGTAAGATATGTTTGAAACATGAGAAAGAATGGGAAACTGGGATAGAATGTGAAAATTCTTCTGCAAGCTGGTACCGAAAGGAGGGGGAGCAGGGGGTAAGCGTGGGGGTTTAGCCTCCAGAAGAACGGACAGGCTGGAGAAGTAGCAGTGTACTGAAAGCTCTGTGGCGCAGCGCGTTCTTTATCGAAAGTGGTGAAGGGGCTAGGCTGCATGGAATAGAAATATTTTTGGGTTTAGCGTGTGGGTTACGACCATTGTTTTACATCCATGAAGGGATTTAGACCCTGTGGCTTTCAAGTATGGGGTGAAGTATGAAAATCAAGGGGGTAAAGTATGAAAATTATGCTGGTATTGGGCAATGCTGGGTTATTTCAGTCGTCACGTGCACGGCTGCGTTCCCTCTATTGCATGTTGTCGATGCTTGCACTAATCTTTTGGAGTCAATAAATATTGTGAAATCATGTCCGGAATGGTCATCTATAAGGGTCAAGGGACAGAGGACACCAGAAAGCTCCGCAATGTAAATTGATGCATTGGGATTTAGTCATATTGATATTGTTGTACTGTTGATTGCACCCGCACATTCCACTGCATGCCAACCTTCAACGTGTCTGACCGCATGCCAACCTTCAACGTTTCCGTCCGCATGCCAACCTTCAACGTATCTGACCACACGACAATCTTCAACGTGTCTGACCACACGCCAACCTTCAACGTATCTGACCACACGACAATCTTCAACGTATCTGACCACACGCCAACCTTCAACGTATCTGACCACACGCCAACCTTCAACGTATCTGACTATACACGCACAACCTTCAAAGTATCTGACCACGCGCCAACCTTCAACGCATTTGACCAAGCGCCAACCTCCAATGTTTCCGATCGCACGCCAAACTTTAACGTATCTGACCACACGTACAACTTCCGACGTATATCTGACCACACGCCAACCTTCAACGTATCTGCCTACTTGCACAACCAAACCAACTTCACTTGAAATCAGCTATCATCTTTAATGTGTTTAAGACGTCGTTGTGAACAAAGCATCTCATTAAGAAAACTCTTCAAATGATCTTATCAGATGCGCCTTTCATTAACATTATTTATAAAACCTCATGACTGATCGACTGCTGTCATTTTGTTAGCTTGCTGCACCTGGACCAACACGACTGAGCGAGCTTGCTGCACCTGGGCCAACACGTCAGAAGCTCGTATAATATGAAGGTTGCTCTGCGAGGGCACAACTGAGCACATCAGTCCTTTTGCTCCACTTATATCACCAGTCCTTTTGCTCCACTTATATCCCCAGTCCTTTTTCTCCACTTATATCACCAGTCCTTTTGTTCCACTTATATCTGTCCGAGCGTACTTTGTGGATACAAATCCTCATGTGTTTACAAGCAGACCTAGTTAGACGCTGAGTCGACAGCTTATACAAAATGTCGCACAATTACTGTCACGGAATGTACCCATGTCGCAGAATCTACCTATTTGCTCGCAGAATCTACCTATTTGCTTATAGTGCGACACAAAAAAGCTGAACGCTATTCTGCGACATACGAATTAACGAAAACCTCTTTAGATTAGGGTTAAAGTTAGGGTTAGAGGTGTAATAAATATTTGTTTACAATTTTTCTACGATTTTACTTAGGTTGGGTCCAGCCAGGAAAGATTCTTTGACCTTAAATAACTAATTGAAAAACGTCAACTGATCATTGTCGCAGTCTTACTGATATATATACGAGGGGCATCCGGCAAGTAGTATCTGTTTGGGAATTGAACAAAAGGAAGTAAATATTAACAAATGTTAGGATGTTTATTGAAAAGAACATGTATTACACTACTTCTCTACATAATCTCCGGGCAAATTTAAGCATTTGTCGTTTCGTGTCACGAGTTTTTGTATACCAGTCATGTTCCTCCGCCGCCAGTGTTTCTGGGATCGGCAAGGAGCATGCTCATCGATTTCAAAACTCCCGGAGACACAATCAATGCCAATGCATATTGTGCAACATTAAAAAAATTACGGCGGGCAATTCAAAATCGACGGCGAGCTGTTGTCTACTGGCGTCATTCTCCTGCACGATAATGCCAGGCCGCATACGGCTCAGATAACACAATAACTTCTCAAAAAATTCAAGTGGGAAATTTTCGACCATCCACCCTACAGTCCGGACTAGGCTCCTTCAGATTTTCATCTGTTTACGAAACTCAAGTACTTCGTGGCAGGGACAAAGTTTCAAAATAACAAAGAACTAGAATAGAATAGAAGTGTCGGCACTGAAGAAATAGGCCCATGACCTGTTGCCGATTCTTGAATTTTTCGTGACTTGATCAAGTTGATTTACAAGGGATCCGGCCTTTGGAACCCGATCTTTCCATAACTGACGATTGATTGAGATAGCTGCTGGACTTATTGCCTGGTCCGTAATTTGCAAGGCATTTTAAGACTGAACATATGCTCCTGCATAGCTAATTGTAGGAATCATTTTCTCTAAGGGAGAGTGGGGATGAGAAAGGAAACAATCTTGACCATAAAAAATAATTGTAATAATTTCGGATGAATATGCTGATTTTTCAAATTTTAATTTTAACGCTATATGTCGCAGTAGAACGTGGCGTTAAATACCTAAAGATTATTTTCCAGATTCCAGGTTATAATTTCTTCAAAATTGCGCTGAATATGGATGTGTTATTCCTACAAAAGTTCGTCCAATATTTCTCATACTGTTATGAGAAGGAATTTCTTCCAAATTTGTTATTAAAAATATTTAAAGTTTCAGTTTAATTGAGGTAAAAGATGTGTTTGAGACGAAGGTTTTATGACAAAGTATTTTCTTGATTTTGTAACCTAAGATCGAGGACGACCTTCTCCTAAGAGGGGTCGTGTCGGTAAGCAGTTTGTGGTTATAAATTTTCATGTGTTTACCAGCAAAGCAAATTAGATTTGAGTCCAATGTGTCTCCTAGACCTTGCCTCAGGTGTGTCTAAACGAACGTGATGACGAACGTGTGTCCTGACGAACGTGACGAAGAACGTGTTCATGTGTAACGAGGACAAGAGCTCTGTGGGCTGAAGCAGCACGTCTATATAAAGGCTGGGCACTTTAAAAAAGCCTCCAGTAGCTTGCACGACCGCAGCGATGTTAGTTCTCATTGTAGGAGTCTGGCGGTCGAAGGTTTAAGTTGTGTACCTTTGTAATGACACATTCTATCTTAGATAAGTCTTAGATAGAATGTGTCTTACCTATCCGTAGAAATAGTCATCGAAAACCTTTGTGCAAGTTAAACTCATATAATATGTGTGAAATGCTTGCGGGGACATCATTTTAAACACGCGATCTCGCCAGACTACTAACAAAGAGAATTTTTTGTTTGTGAAAATCGTGTCATGTGCCTTGTAGTATGGAGCGAATTTTAAATAAATTAATTGTGAAAATCATCCATATTTCATTGAAATCTCAACTTAAAATCAAACTGACTAGAAGTTGCTGAGTCAGGATGAAAGAATAGTAAAGAAACGGCTAGCCCCGAGTGAACATAGAACTTTACATTTCGAACGGCTATAAAGTCAATTAATACATCTATAAACATAGCAGTATTTGTTTATGGTACTATACGATAAACTCAAACTTGTCCTGTGGAAATACAAACTTTCTTTTAACCAGCGCAAGCAATTATTTTTCCTCGGATGCGAGAAGATTTACCAAAACTTATAAGATTCTATCTTGGGAAATCGGTGCAAATTTCATCACAATATCATCTAGATTCAAGTATTAAATGATTGGTAAATAGATGACAGCTATCATTATACCCAAAACACATACCAAGTACCTAAGCAAAATATTGTCTTTTTCTCAGATCATTTCACCAAAGTCGCCGATTTGACGCGGCCGTTGCCAGTCTATTTCATACCTGCAGGAGCCGAATTTATTCATTAACTTTATAGCGAATTTATTAACTTAGTCCTTGACAACTCATTTTCAATCTTACTTGGCAAATTTTGATCTACAGGTAAGGTTGTATGTCTGTAATAATAAATGTAATTAATTTATTAATGTTTATGTCTGATTTATTGCACTAATTGAAATGTTGGACTAGGCATCTCGCTAATAAATTTGTGATTGTTAAAATCATCGATGTTTGTATGTCTGTAATAATAAATGTAATTAATTTATTAATGTTTATGTCTGATTTATTGCGCTAATTGAAATGTTGGACTAGGCATCTCGCTAATAAATTTGTGATTGTTAAAATCATCGATGTTTATAGTTTTTCAATAAGATTTTTTGTAATTCATTTATACACATGAAGTTGCTCGACTTACCGGAACATCTTTGAGTATAAATTATTGCGCACTGAAATTGATGCAGGTTGAAATGTTTCCCCGACGTAAGAAGTCCCGAGCATTTGTTCATGATACAATTAATTTGGACTTAATTCAAGGTACAACTTCAGGAATTCAGCAGTTGCTTCAGAGCGCCTGTACCATATTTTAAACTTGTAACTATGAGTATTTGTATAACGTTCAATGCAAATTGAATAGTTGTGAGGTAAAAGTTAATTAACAGGTGTATTAAATTATTGTTCGTAAATAAAAATAAATTATGCCACATAGCTGAAGTGACAAATGGCATGAGGGTAACCATACTTTAATCGAGCAACTTGAATAAAAAATTTGAGGAGAGGCCCTATTTTGATTTATAGTTGCTTTCAAAACTTTCGAGTCAGAAGCACCTCCCAGCCCGATCTCTTTCAAGGTGTAGAGGCTCTAGAATTCTATATAAATCAGCAAACTCATTTAGTTTGGTGAGGTGTGACGCCGTAAAAAGTCACGAAATAACGCTTGCGTTAATGACACTGAAATAATGAACAGTAATTTATAAGATATCGAGCGAACAATGATTTCTTTATTTAATGTATATATAATTATGCAGATGCATTCCCTCGCCGCCGTTCTCTTGGCTGTGATCAGCCTGAGCGCTTCATGCCACGGCAAAAAATACACGAAGTGCACGCTTGCAAGGGAGCTGAAATGCGTCTACGGCTTTGCGCAGAACAGCCTCGCCGACTGTGAGTGAATCTCTGCGTATTTCGTTTCAATGATTAAACTGAGGATAGTTTCACAAAATTCAGAGTATGGCAGTAGCTTTTCCTTGCAATTAGAAATATCCCACTTATAAAACTAATTCCCTACCTTTCCTCTCTGAACAGGGGTGTGTTTGGTTCAGCATGAGAGCTCCTTCGATACCGCGGCTTTTCATCAAAACACGGATAGTCATAAAAGTAAAGATTATGGCTTGTTTCAGGTAAATCATAGTATCGTATCATTATGACACCTAATACGCCTTTTGCCTGTTAAGGAAGAATTGCAATATATATCTGATTATAGTTTAGCGATTGGAAAACACGATACCAATTTGAAGCAATAATCGTGGTCGAATTTTGAATAGCAGACATAGTCACAAGTCAACGAAGTCTTTTCTAGTTCATCTTCAGTTGCGGTCTAAATGAATTAAAACAGTGAATCCGTACCAGTGTCCAAGCGGAACTAAAGGAAAGGTCGCGAGGAAATTTTGAGCGGAGTGACGTACAATACGATTAAATTAATTTCAGTGATGAATCCTAGTTTCAATTGTTCGGTTTCGATGAAAACAGTTTTTTGAGAATCTTGTATGTTCGTTAGGGAGCATAATTTCTTTCTCTGCGCAGATCAACGACTACTATTGGTGTAAATCGGGCACAGGCACCAACGACTGCAACATCGATTGTGATAGTGAGAAATTTTTTTGCATAATTATACATTAGTTGCTATCTGTTAGTGAATTAAAAATTACGAATGGTCCCAATAAGAAAATCGTAGCTTTATGGTTACGTAGCTTAAATCCAGTTATATTATTTATGGCTTGATGACTGCGCAAGACTTTTCCAACGAATGTTCTACAATTTCTTAGTTATTTTTAAGGAAAACACAACAAACAATTCGTTCCATACAATCTATTCCACATTAAAATGATAATAATAATGCATTTATGAAATTATAAGATGGATACAATAGTTTTCATTTTCATTGCAACTTTCTTCTACTAGATGCCTCTATTAAAATATTCAGCGCCGAAATGTAATCGAAGAAAATCATCGATGACAGTCGTACATATTCAACATACATATATTGCTTGACGGTCACAAATATTAAATTTTCAACGATTGTTCACCACTCGAAACTCTCATGAGTCCGACTCGATCACTCGATGCAACATACATATTGCTTGACGGTCATAAATATTAAATTTTCAACGATTGTTCACCACTCGAAACTTCCACGAGTCCGAATCGATTACTCGATGCAACACACATAATGCTTGACGGTCATGAATATTAAATTTTCAATGATTGTTCACCACTCAAAACTGTCATGAGTGCGACTCGATCACTCGATGTTGGGGTAGAGCTGCACCAGACAGGGATGCAGAGCGCCTAAAGCTTCGTGGTAATCTGCAAGTATCCGCGCACTGTGGCCCTCATGGCGAAGTCTGGCCAGGAAGCCTCTTCTGATGGCGGCCACTGAGCTATCCAATATTTAAGGCGGCAAGTTCTGTGTCTGCATTATTTAGCCAGGATCAATTGGGACGCACGCTCTCCAAGCCCCTTGAACTATCTTATAGGCTTGCATTGTTTATTTTTTGGGGTATGTACAACATTCGAATCGCTGAGTCTACTGCATAACAGGTTGATGAGCAACAACTGGCACTTGACCAGAACAGCAATCGCCATTGGATAGCTAGTTTTGATAGCATTGTTACAGTGGAATTCCGTAACCTCCGACAGGATTGTACATCGCGCATCCGCAAGCTCCATCGCAGTGAGTAATTAGGCCCCATACACCATAGAGTCCGACTCGTGAGTCTAACTCGTCTGACCGGAAATGCGGCGCCAAACGAGCCGAGGTGGGCAAAATCATGCGAGCCGTGCCAGGGCTTCCACTGCTTGCTGTGGGGCTCCCCGGCTCGGGCCGCTCGGCTCGAGTTCAGTTGCTATGCAGACGTCAATGTGGGAAGATCTATGCAGCGATGGCGGACTCCAGGCTATTCATGAGCCCCGACTTTTTAACTAAGTTCATAGATGAGTACCGCAATTTGCCTTGCCTTTGGAAGGTCCGTTGCTCCTAATATTCCAACAAATCAAAAAGGGATAAAGCATGGGAACATCTCGTTGAAATTACGCGGGAAAAAGTAGTGAATGCTGACCTTAACTTTGATAAGAAAAAAGTGGACAATATTCGAGCCTCATTTAGGAAAGAATTGCGAAAGATACGTGAGAGCACGCGAAGTGGTGCGTCATCAGATGACACGTACATTCCAACTTTGTGGTACTTCGAATTGCTCAAGTTTACCGCTGAGCAGGAACAGCCTCGACAAACAATAAGCAATTTGGACGAGGGCGAAGAGAATCATCTCGATGAAGAAGCCTCTACCTCGAGGTTGCGATTTGAACGGCTGTTAACCGCCCAACGCAGCCAAAACCTGGAACTATCCAAGAACTCCACCTATGCCGTTGTTAGTCCGTTAGTGGAACTCATTAAGAGTTATGCCCAGAACTGCGGTGGAGTTTATTCTTGGAAGCCCAGATTTGGCCCTGCCTTCCTCGAGTCAAAACCGTGTTACCCTAATCCATCACTACTGAGCACACACAACTTCCGAGTGCACACAACGAGGGGGTAACTCAGCCAAAATGAGCTTACTTCAACTACTGTTCGCAATGTACAAAACAGACTATAAACACTTCCTAAGTGCAAAAAAATAGATAATATAATATAATACAATAAAGTCAATATTTTTGTAATCATTTGGCAATCAAATCACAGTTAAAAAATCTAATAATCTTAAACTAATTCCAAAGAGACCAAACTCTCCATCGTTCACGACTGCCTAGCGCGCGCTATAACGAGGTTAGGAGCAGCTCGACCAATCACGTTCGAGCCACGCCCTGTCTGGTCACGAAATAAATATTCGTTTACACATTGTTTAGTCATAAATTAAACCCTTTAGTTAACAAAATAATAATATCACAGTTAAATGAGGTTCCTTATTTCAGTCACAAAATAAATGTTACAACAATTGTCTAGTCACTAACCTAGAACAGGATTAATAGAACGTACAAGTAAAAAAAAAAAATATATACCACGAAATGAGCATCCCGTCATACGGCCCCCTACTCAAGCGTCAAGCGCCCTCGCTTGATAAATAGCACGCTTTCTTGAATCACATTCAAGCCTCACTTCAGTAGTACGTAGCGCCGTTGTAGTATCATCCTTCCAATAGATGGTAGTTAAGGTCCGCCGTTCATGCCGTATCAAGCATCCAGGTTCATATTCCGTCGTCGTTGCGACCATCATCCTCCCGGGTCGAAGACAAAGATAGTGTCTTCATCGAGTAGCATTGAATGCTCCAGCTTTCGGCACCTGTTCCACGTTCCACAAGTTGAAACGCAATTGACTCCAGACATCACGCCACGAGCGCTGCCAACTCGAGAGATGAGAACATCATTTTTCATGTCAGCAGTGCTCAGCTCTCGACTGTCGACCACGAACTGAACTGGCCCATCCTTCTGATCCGTCGAAATAAAATCTCCGCTCCTAGCGAAGCCACTAGGAACATTTCCCTTCGAAATCTCTTCACACGGACATCCTTCACCCGCAGCTCGCTCGAGCGGTACGTGGCCACTAGCCTCAGTGCGATCTTCTCCACACGGAGAAATTTCAAATTCTAGGTCGTTGATTGCCGACGTGTCGTCGAATGCTCTAGTTGAATACTCAAGCTCTTCTAGCCGACCTCCACCCCACGGATCATCGCCGGCAATATCTTGTACGCGAAGATATCCGGCTTCCTCTTTAAGAAGCTGCAAGTCGATTGCAGCGTCATCATTAGAGCCCTGAATTTTGGCCACAGTGTTCTGAGCTGGGCAGAGATTCCGAATTGTTTCCCGCAAATGAGGCAATTCTGGTGCCCGAACCGCGTTCGGGATCGAGGTCGGCTGCACCTCCGAGAAGTTTGATTGACACAACTTCCGCACCGTTGTGATGCCCATAGAGATTTCGCCAGGAGCCGTGCAACTATAATTATTTGTAATTCTTTACCTACCAATTATAATTTTTCGAGCGTTTGGCTAACTGAATATTTTACAGATCCTAGTGCAATAAAAACTGAAAATTCTTTGCACCTTATTACAATATCTGAAAAATTTAAAAGTGCGCTGGCCAACCCCGATGCAAATTTGCCAATGCAAGCGCACCCTAGCTTATATTATTATTTTAAATTCCAACGCAAGTTTTCCATCAGGCATCATAACCACCTCCATGTTATTATTTTAATAACAAGGTCAGGCATCATAACCACCTCCATGTTATGGTGGATATTTTAATAACCAAGGTCAGGGTCAGGCATCATAACCACCTCCATGTTATTGTGGATATTTTAATAACCAAGGTCAGGCATCATAACCACCTCCCTGTTATGGTGGATATTTTAATAACCAAGGTCAAGCATCATAACCACCTCCATGTTATTGTGGATATTTTAATAACCAAGGTCAGGCATCATAACCACTTGCATTCTATTTTAAATATTTTGTATAACCAAGGTCAGGCAGACAGGCACACTGGCTAGCTGCATGTTATTGTAAATATTTGCAGAAAAATAAATTTTTTTGAACACTAACATCCGGATCGAACGATAGCTCAACATGAAATCAAAAATAGAAATTGAATTTTCACAGGAGATTTCAGGGTTACATTATCAGAAGATTTGCATATTTTGCATTATAAACATTTCAATTGGAAACGAGATAATTAAAAATTTGTTTCAACATTCCGGAGAATATTCTAATGATTACATTAGGGAACTTTCAATATAGGGAACTTGGTACCACCAATCAAAAAGGAACACAAATCATATTTCCGGATGACCACCAATCAGCCGCGGATTAAGCCATCCGTCGGTAACCAGCCCGTGACGCCATCTTGCTTTAATTATTGAAAGCTTTACGCCACCACATTCTGAAACGAATAGCCCACAGAGTAACGAATAGCCCACTGAACGTTGCATCGAATCATCATTTCATACGCTGACTTTAGCTCGAACTGTAACTTGCGGACAACGGACTGCAACCAACCAGCCCAGTGGGGTTAGGTTTCACCGTTTCAGATAGCATAGTTCTGTTCCAAAATGTATCGTCCTATATACGACGCGTGGCCGTTCGACCGTAGTCTGATTCGACACACGGGACAGATACCGACGGCTTCGGGTCGCTCCATCCGGGTGGTGTAATTTTTTTCGCGTATTGGCAGACGATGCTGGGCCATTCTACATTAGGATACTTTCCTGTGGGCTGATTGATCTATTTCAATGGATGTGATCTGTCTGGTGGCTTGCGGCTGATAATGTTACAGTCAAAAAGTGTTATAGGCTGCGTTCTTGAGGGAAGGGATCACAATAGTCCATTCGATGCACGGCAGTGGTGATCTCCGACAGCAGGCGACAGGCGTCCCATTTGTATCGATGCCCACTGTAATTCTCAAATGATCGGCTGTCATATTCCGCACAGCTGGAGAATATGCTAAAAAAATTGCTGGAAAACTAAGTTTAAATCGTCGCTATTGATAACAAATCGTTTCTTTATGACTATATCGGTTTGAAAGCTACGAGGGAATGAAGCGTGAATGTGACTTAGAAAATGCAAAATGAATAAGGTCTCAACCCATGCATGATAGAATAATTGTAATATAGAGGTTTCAA